GTATCTTAAGCCTGTCTTTTGGAGTGTTGGCTATTCCTGCCAGCTTGGTGTTATCTGCAAATTTGATAAGTTCTCCATCTATCCCCTCGTCCAAATCGTTGATGAAGATGTTGAAGAGCACTGGGCCCAGAACAGAGCCCTGGGGCACTCCACTACACACTTCCCTCAAGATGTTGTTCCTGAGTGCCTGATATGTAGTCACATGACCATGGTTAGAGTGGCCATCAGAACTTCAGAACTGAGTCATTCATACCCCGTGGAAGTCTATCGTATCTTTGAACATTTCGCTAAGTGGGCATTAACTGTATTAACTCAGCTCTTGAAGATATTTGCAGCACATTCTTCTAGGTTTGCAGTAATTGCTGCCTACCAGCTCCTAGATTTCCTTCTCCCAGTAGGTGAGAAGGCATGGTACCACAATGGCACTCCTCCCTCCCCAATTACCCACCTCTATTCTATGTAAGTCATATTTCCTTACACATTACTTAATTGAAATAAAGTAGGAGGAAGATAGGTCATTGATTAGACCACTGAGTTTCCCCATTGGCCGTCTAGATAATCTTTCCTTCATTCCTGGAAGTAAGACTTAGAGTGAAACACAGGATAAGAAGGATGAGGTTGATGGCTAGATAAACATACTGTGAAATGCTTCAATTTCAGATCAAATTAATCCTTATTCATGGTGATAAACCAGTATATTCTATAATTAGACCTGAAATTTGCTAGTGCAGACTTTATCTACTTAACACTATAGTAGTTAGACTTACTAAATGTAAGCTAACCAAATATTAAGCAACAGGAAGAAATGGATTTTCATGAAATGTTTTGAAAAATGCTGTGTTAGCTTTTAGCGTATATTGGTTGCATGTTTTACTGTTTCATCTCTGTATCCCTAATATAGCATAATGTTCCATGCAGAAAAAGAGAAATATGATTTTTGAAAAATCAATTTCAATTTTATACCAAGAATAATTGTACGGCTGCAAAGTCAGCAAATTGATCTGTGTTCCCTTTATGATTATTCATCTATCTTTTTTATCTATAAATAAAATTAGGAGTCCTTCAGAAATGTTTTTAATCACACATGTTTAACATACCTGCAATAAGAAAGACAATAATAAGTGAGCTAATAAATTGATCCACATATTATAATACATAGTTAATGTACACCATATGCAATTCATCCTATAGTTAACAATGTGCCGTGCATCTTTAATGATAAAGAAGCTGATGAAGCCGCTAAATAACTTTCACCCCAACTGAGATAACTGAAATCTCAAGATTACCTCAATTGTATTCTGTGATGTACTGGGCTTTCAACCAGATCTTAATAGAGGCAAGAGCAATTCAGTCTTAATAAGTTTTCTGTGGTGGGAAAAGATCAATATCTAAGACTATTCTGGTTTTTTTTTTAATGTTGACTTCTGTCCATAAAAGTTTCTATTATAACCTGGATTCTCCCATTTATTTGAAATGGGTTTTTTTGATAGAATGTAATTCAGATATATAAATTATAAAACCTCCTCTCCTCACATTGCTTCCTTTGTAAGACTTTAAGGAAGTACTGTAACAATTAAAATTAGATAAGCTTCATAAATCATTACTATTACACAAAGAGTACTTTTTGCTCTGCAAACTAACTTTCCGTTATAAAATGCACTCATAATTTCTGTATTGGACTTTTATGCAAAATATATCTAGAAATTAGACTCAGTTGCACTGTACTTAGACACTCTCCCAGACATCCAGTATCTTTGGCTCTACTACTAGGAATTTAATATTACAGTTAAAAGCAGTTTTTATAGAAATAAACTAAAATACATGATAAATAGCAAATAATGAATAAATAATTAATATTGATCTATTAAAATTAGATTTTTATTCTGGATTAGAAAATGTATTATTGTGTTTTTTGTGATTTGACATTTAGTAATATATCATGCAAGAAATGCATTTCTGTATTCTTTGGAAGTCCCTTCTCAACATACTTCTTTTTTTTCTTCTTCTACTGCTTTCCCTTTTTTCTTTTCTTTTTTCTTTTTCTGTGCAATTTTTCTTTTTTCTTTATAACTTTTTCTTTTTGAATTTAATTTGTATTTGCTTTTACTATTCTAGTTAAAATATTTAATAAAAAATAAAATTCAGAATTTATTTTCTGCACATGGAACATACATTCCTAAATGCATAAACCTATTTTTAAAAACACGTTTGAGTGAATATCCCATTCAATTATTCTTCACTGAGCACCATATAGAAATTAGAGTGAAATATATTATTTTCTGCATGCTGTTCATCTAGCATTTGAAACGTAGCAGAGATTTTTTTTTAATGTTAACATTACAGTTTGGTAAGATCAAGTATCACAGTGTGTGTACATGTCTATCTTTAATTATTTGTAAGGATATGGTAATAAGAAAATATAATAAATATAAAATTAATCATCTAGCATTTTTCATGTGACTGTCTAATCTACTTTATCAATCAATAACAGAATAACTTTAAAGAGTGTATCCTTCCAACTGCAAAAATGTTGATCCATCTATCCATCAACCATGGTTTACAAATCGCAGTGGCTGGGTTCACATATGCTAAGCCAAAGCAAAGACATACAGTGGTTAAATGAAATGTGTGAACTAAATCAGCAATAAAAAAAAGAACCATAATTCATATTATTGATATTGTTGATTGTTAATTTAAAGGTTGTAAATATCAGTTTTAACCAGTGTGATATCTACATGAAAACCTTTGGGAACCATCCAAAGGCAAAACAAGAATGCCTCTGATTTTTCTTCACTGTGAGGGCTACACTTTATTTCTGGAACTTGTCTAGGGCAAGATCAATGTATTTAGTTTTCCCTCTACTATTTATGATGTTTATCTCTGAGTTTTTGAGGCTGCAAGATAGAGAATTATGGTTAAAATTATTTTATTTTTTCTTAAAAGCTTTTCTGCTGTTTCTTTGTATATTTGTGTCTAAGCAATCTAACATACTACACATGCTGTATCAACATTGAATGATAGCAAAAACATAATAGTATTCATAGCATAAATGGTCCACAACTGACACAACCAGGAAAAAAAGGCTTATTCTATGGTGCTATGCCATTCCATTAGAAATCAACTACTGCATTTATTTGTTGATTAAATTTATTTGCCTCCCTCCATTTTGTAAATGACTCTAGGCAGCTTACAGCATTAAAAGCATTAAAATAATAAAAAAGACTTCTAAAACAAGGGTGTCAAACTGGCGGCCCACAGGCCATATGCTTCATGCACAGGCTACACCCACCCCAACATCACAAAGGCAAAAAACATTGTGATATGTCACAATATGTTACATGACATGATTGAGTTTGACACCTGTGTTCTAAAGCAATAGAAATGGAAACCACAATCAAAATAGAATTATAATTAAAAGATGAGGAGGGAGATAGGCAGCTGAATGTGCGGGGTAGGAGGTGGGATTGGCTCTTAATTGTTCAACCACCTTAAGTGTGATGTTCCCCCTTTGGGGCCCCAAACCATCTGGCAGAGCCAGGTCTTCAGGCCCTTATGGAAGGTCAGAAGGAGGAAAGCCAATCTCACCTCAAAGGGCAGGAGCCACGGCAGAGAAGGCCCTTCTCATAGATCCCATTAGCCAGAATATTAGAGTTTCAAAACTGCCAGGTTATACCTATTTAACATAAAAAGTAAGTGGCAGGGACATGACTAATTAACTTTTAACAGTATAATGCTGTGCATATGTATTAAGAATTAAACTCTACTGATAGTGTTCATGACAGAAATTAAAAAAAACAACATATCTGTAGCAGAAGTTTAAGAATAGTTTTAAAGTAGACATTACAAACATGGATTCAAAAATTGGAAATTCCAGTAATGCTCCATCAATAGTACTATTTCTTTGAAGTATTAAAATGCTATCAATTGATTTGAGAATAAAGTTGTTTTATGAAAACAATGTATTTAAAGTGTATTGGACTACTATAAATATGTATTTGAAAGATTAGACATCAGATTTTAGGTACTGAAAAAAAAACCTTGAAGGTCATTGATAGGGTCCCTTTTTCTGATCCAATCCACTCATTAAAAAAATAAGATAAGGTAATCCCCATAATTAATCGTATTTTATAGAGAATAAAAATGTATTTTAGCAATTATTAAACAATACTAAGAGCCAAAAGTTTTACAAAACATATACATAGAACAATATAGCTCAGAAAATTATAGGGACTTTAGAAGTAACAGCAGTAAATTCATATTTTTATTAATTATTCTTTTTGGAAAGAAATGTTCTTTTTTATTATTAAAAGTTTTACAAATTACAATATAAACCCACCCATCCCCTCCCCCCCCTCCCCCACTTCCCAGAGCTGATTACAGGGTAACAAATAAACAAACATACTCTAGCTAACATAAACCAACTAAACTATCAATCAAAACCATAATACACTTTAACTCCTTCTCAAAACAAATATTAACAAATTAAGACAAAAATAATAATACCATTAATACTATTAATAATTATCTAAAATCTATTCAAAAGCAAGATAATACTTTTCAGTTTCATACTTCTTCTGAATATAATCAATCCATCTTCTCCAAACCATAATATATCTTTCTTGTGAATGATCCTTCAAATAGGCAGAGATTTTTGCCATTTCTGCTAAATTAGACACTTTAAGTATCCATTCTTCCAAAGTAGGCAATAAGTTTTTCTTCCAATATTGCCCCACCAATAATCTTGCAGCAGTTATGAAGTTCAACATCAAATTAGTTTCTTTAACATCCAAATCTACAGTAATACCCAACAAAAATAATTGCGGAGTAAACTTTATCTTTTTCTTAAAATCTTTTGAATATTCCACCAAATCTTAATCCAAAAAGCTTTAATATCTTGAAAGAAATGTTCTTATAGCTTGAGATTTGCCCAGAATTGCTGATAATCTGCATATTGTGTGACATCTGTTTTTTTTTTTTTTCCTCTCTCTCTTTATTTTCAGGGAAATTTTGTTGCAAGCATGACAGCTATTTTAAGACAAATGGAAGATTATCATTATGCTCACTTAATCAAGACTTTGGGGAAGATGAGAACTGATGTTGTTGTAAGTTTAACCTGAAACATTGTCCAATTTTTACACTATTTTTTAAAAATATTATATGATAAATCATTATAAAGCTGAAAAAACTTTTTCTGAGAAACTTATGACTAGACATGAAAATCAATGATATACATTGTTTGTCTTCCATGCCAAGAACAAAAAATGTGTCATTATTCTTACATTAAATGATGATTGTTAAAGAAAATCAAAATTTTGAAGCATACTGAATCAGGTTTTAGGGTGGAGTCAAATATGTAACATTTTATGTTATGTCATTAATAGTTTTTAAATTTGAATCTACCCACAAACTTATCATTTACAATATATGGTATTGTACTGGAACTTTATTTTATTCCACTAACAGGTTTATTGTATATAGGTTTTATCTTGACTTATATACTAGGTTTCTAAAATCATTTAATTTGTTCAAGCAGCTCTTAAGATTATTGATAATACCCTAATCAGTATTATTAAACATGCATAGATTTAAAGATATATTTGATTATTAATAGAGACAATATATCAAGCTCCTCAAGATTCTTTCTAATCTATATTTCTGTTTATGTAGCACTACTTAATTAGGGTATGATAGAATGGAGTTAATAGTCAAGGGCGGGTATCTCTAATGACCTGGCTCTATTGTGGCCCTGTGGCAAATGTGTTCTGCAAAGACAGACCCAAATGTATTAGCTGAGATCTATTAATTAGCAGATAACATGACGTCCATATTATGGTGCTAGATACAGATTTTGTTGCTAGAGAAGTTAGAGGTACAGCATTTCAGACAGTATGAGAAAAAAATCTGACTACAGATAGAGGCAAAGGAGAAAAACAGATTTCTCAATTTAGTGACTCCAATTAGAAATTTGCTTGGAAGTAAGTGGTTGGCTCATTTACTGACATTTAATATCATTTAATGACGTTCATCTCAGTTTGGCCATAGTGGTTGCCTACTCTGTGAAGGGGAGGGAAAGGAAAGGAAAGGAAAGGAAAGGAAAGGAAAGGAAAAGAAAAATGCTTAAATTTTTTTCTCATTTTTGTCACTTCTCAGTTTAGTAATTTAACCACGGCAGGTCAGAACTATTTTAGTATCATTGTATGATTCAAATGGTAATGATTACTAGGCCTATTACACAAACAAGCACCTCATATTTAACCCATAAAGAAAATTTTAAAAAACACAGCAAAAAGACATAAAAATGGAAAAATTCATTGAATCTGATTGCAAATCAAATTGCAATTGTGAGGTTTATTGAACTGATTTGTGGCAGCTTTCTCCTTTGCTTCCTAGTAGCAATGTTAGGATCCAAGCTGCAAAATACAAACAATAGCAGAAAAGTATGATTTTTCTATATCAATTTGCTGCCTTTTTTACAGCTCGGATTGGTTGGTGTAAATCAGCATTTACTGAGCCTGAAAATTAATAGACTGTCTTACAGTCTTCTAAAAAGATAGTTGCAGTAGTTTCCAGAATATATATGAAACATTTTATGTCTTTACTTCAAATGTTATACCAATCAAGCTTTTTGCCAAGGTAGAGTTTCAGAGCAAAGAACTAAAAGCAGTTATTTTTTTTACAACTGATGCCATTTTTATTTATTTTTTAATGTTAATGTTTAAAATGCTTGAAACTTGTATGCCACAATGAAGCAAATGTTTACTACTGCCTGACAAGTGCAGGTTTATCTGGAAAAAGAATATGTTGCTTCAGTTTACCATAAAAACAATCTAAATACATCAAGTCTTGTAAATTGTGGCACTGAGAATGCTTATAGAAGCTAATTACATTGCACCAATACAAAAGGCACATAAAAAGTATTTCTTAAGATATTGGTGTAAGTTTGGAACCAAGCTCTCTGAAGCACTATCTTCTCTCATATATCTGCCCAAGTTTCAAGGGTGAGATACATCATCACCATCCACCCAATTTACGGTGCCTCCACTTTTTACGGTGCAAGGGAAGGTCCTACTTTCCATTTTTGTTTTACTGCTGTTATTTACATTAAAGGATTGAAACTGGAATAAGCAAACTCCCTTTGGAATGTTCATTCCAATTACAGTATTGTTTGCAGTGAGTCTAAAGATTTCAAGTTTATTAACTTCTTCTATACTGTGTCTTCCTTGTAACCCATCTCCATTTCTTTCTCTCTCTCTCTCCCTCCCCCTCTCTCTCAATTTTGCTGATGTTTAATAAGCATCAAGCTATTTTTGCTAGCTGAACTGAATGGCTATGTATGCTTGCTCTGATCTGGATACAGGGAATTGACTGGGAAAATGCTGGGTGCAAAACTAGAACTTGAAATTTCTGCCAGCGATTTTCCAACATTATGACCACTATTTTTTTGCCTTCTGATCCATTAATAAGAAAATTCTTTTTTATTCACTCACATATTTAGTATGTCATACCAAGCTGGGCTTGTCAGCTGGAAAGCTGGCAGCCCAGGTTCGAGACCCAAGTGCCACACAAAGGGGTGAGCTCCCATCATTGCCTCAGTTCCTGCCAACCTAGCAGTTTGAAAGCATGCAAATGCGAATAGATAAATAGATATTGCTTCGGAGGGAAGGTAAAAGTGATATCATGTTGGTCAGATGACCATGGAAATGTCTTCAGACAGCACTGGCTCAATGAAATGGAGATGAGCACCATCCTTACAATGTTCAATGACTAGCTGAGTAAAATCACAAGGACTCCTTTACCTTTATGTAAACTTTGAAGAAACACTACATATATTTACATGTCAAATTTCTAATGTGTCAAGTTAGTTTGCTTCTTGCTTGTAAATTTATCTAATCTAGATTGGATTGATAACAGTGCTGCTTATAGAGGATAATATACAGTATACTTAAACTGTTTCTGTGTTTTGTTTTAGTAACACTCAGAGCAGAGAAATCAATCTTACAAAGTTATGTTGACAAGAAGATATTTTAAATCAATTTCAGAAATCTCAAGGGTATTCATTTCTAACTTTTATCCAGAATACAGGAAGTGATGTTATATCAGTTCCAACAATTTATCCTGTAAAGTTATAATTAAATTTAAATCATCTTTTGATGGAAGAAATTAGGGATAAAAATAAATAATATACATGTTACTGCCTTAATTTAGCTAATTATGTTAAACTATGAATTAAAAACAGGCTTGATTAAAAATTAAAATAATTGTAAGAATAACAAGTTACAAAAATAAATGCTTACATTTTCTCAGATGTTTATACATTTTTGGGTTACAGCTGACAAACTCACCCTTAAAATATCACAAATTGTAAAATGCAGCTTGTGCTACGTATGATCACCATGCAAGTTCCACAACATCTGAATCAGTTTATGAGTGAGACAAGTCTGCTCATCATGTGCTTGGGTATCAGGACAATATCAAATTGCTAGAAAGTTATCTAAACACTTATTCTCAAATTTTGGGCTTGTTGCAAACCAGTAACAAATAATTCGTGGACTGGCACCAGTCTGCAGACCATAATGTTCTACTTCATTAGGATGCAGTTCTGAGACTCCACAAGCAGAGAAGGCAGTAAGGTCTGCCTTATTACTGATTCTGAATCCTTTCTTTCAGCAACAAATTTAGATGTCTCATCTTTTTTTTTTTTCCTCATCTCAGGATGATGACATCTATGTGTGTTTTTGTTACTGTCTGTACAACTGTTTAAGAGTGGAAATTATTTATGGGACAAGGAGATAAATAAAATATAGAATTTTACTTATTTGAATTTGAGTACCTGCCAGTTTGCTGAGAAATCCATGTTACCTGGGGAATGACTAAATGTTTTTAGTAAATAAAATAAAATTCAAGCTACTGTTGTTATCACCTTTTAAAGAGACAGCACTCTGAGAACAATTTGGTTGTTTGGTTGTAAGTTTCTCCACAAGAAGAAACTTACAACCAAGGAAGGCAGTGGATAAAATTATCTATAATGGGTCAAACTGCCGGCCCATGGGCCGGTTGCATCATGCAGAAGCCACGCCCACCCCAGCTTCAGCAATGTGAAAAAAGTTGTGATATGTTGCGACATGTCATATGACATGGCGAGTTTGACACCTGTGATCTATAAGGAAGTGCAGGAAGCATCTAAACAACACTGGAATTGTTGATGCTGGGAGAAAACGTATTTCACCCTAATGTGTGCTTGTGTCCATTTCTTCCCTTATACAGTCTATATTTCTATCCTGCTACTTTTTGAGAAAACTATTCACAACTGCTATAACACAAATAGCACAATTAATACATAATGCATGTTTAACTCTTAGGGTTAAAGCTGTGAGAACCTGAACAAGTTGATAGCCAAAGTCCAGATAATTACTTCTATGGTTAAACCTGGTCCCTTTTGCTTCAAATGTCTAGAGCACGGGTGTCAAATTTGCCATGTCATGTGACGTGTTGCAACATATCACGACTCTTTTTGTGTTGCCAGCAATGGGGTGGGTGCGGCTTTGGTATGATGAAACCAGCCCACGAGCTGGCAGTTTGACATCCCAGGTCTAGAGGAAAGAGAAAGGAGAATTAGTCTAAGAAATGGTAAATACTTCCAAAAAAGCTTTAACGTTTGTGTCAGCCTTATTAGGTAGACTATACTAAGATATTGATCAGACAAGTAAATCTACATATATTGCAACAGCTATATTAGCAAACACTTGTAAGTGTGAATGTGCTACTTTTCTTCCTTTTGTCTTCATGAGAATTGGGAAGAGAAAGGGGGTTGCTTCTGAGCTTTTTTATAAATTATTTTCTTGGTTGGCCCTCTGATTTATGGCTTTAGTACTGGTCTTCTTTCTACCCTTCAAAGCCAGCTTCTTTATTCACTGTAGTTTGTGACATAATGCTTTTAATGCCAATACGATGGAAACCTTTATTATATAAATGCAGTAGGTAAGGAAATAAATAATAAATATAATAATTATATAATATATATATAATTATATAATGTTATATAATAAATTATTTATAAAAATAAATAATAAAATTGTATATAGTATAGTACAGTATAGTACAG